TCCCGATCCATGCATACGAAAGATTGAATTGCATCCTGTGACGCCGTTCTTTGCCCTGCTTTTCGGAGTGCACGTTTGAACGTATCCACCGACATTTCCGCCTGGCCGTTTGATTACGGGTGATATGGTGAATTTCCTTTTCTTTGCACCGTTCGCGGAAAGATGTTGAGGTGAATTGTGTTCCATTGTCTGTTACTAACATCTCTGGCAGGCCGAAATATCGTAACAGCTTCTCCAGCTCGTTGACAATGTGCTGGGTAGTCGGATTGCTTAAAGGAATCACAGCAGGCCACTTGTTAAATGAGTCGACCAAAACGAGATAGGATTGGCCATTGATTGGTCCTGCATAGTCTAAGTGTATTCTTTGCCACGGTTTCTCTGCTTTAGGCCAAGGTTGCCAATGACACTTGGAAGGGCCCTTCGTTGCAAGTGGACAAGGTTCCCACTGTTGGCAAAATTTTGCAATTTTCGAATCCATTTCTGGTCACTAAACAAGGCTTTCATACGGCTGGTACCAGGGTGTCCCGTGTGGAACTGCTGTAATATTTGCCTCTGCAATTTCGTTGGCACCACCACTCGATCTCCAAACATCAGACGATTGTCCATGATTGACAGGGATCCACGTCGATTGTATGACGGCCGCAACTCCATAGGTATGCCTCCATTTGGCCAACATGTTCGTACCCACTGCATCGCTTTCTCCAAGATTCTGTCCCGTGAGGTCTCCATACGAATGGTGTCGGCTGTTACTGGTAGTCTTCTCACATTATCAGCCAGGATTCGTTGGACTTCTATTTCGAAACTGATAGCTGCAATTACACAATTATTATTCTCCTTTGGTTGTGAATTGATGAGATGTGGCAGGCCATCCGCTTGACCGATTAGTTCCGTAGGTTTACATTGTATACTGAAGTCGTAGGCCAGTAGTATGGTCGCCCATCGTTGCAATCGTTTTGCCGTAAAAACTGGAATTCCTTTCTTTGACCCGAATATCGACAGAAGTGGCTTGTGGTCAGTCTGGAGCGTGAAATGTCTGCCATACAGCATCTTATGGAACCGTTTTATTGCGAAAACGATCGCGAGCGCTTCCTTCACTATCTGGCTATAGTTCTTTTCAGCTGCCGTTAGTGACCATGCTACGTGCGCGATAGTCTTCTCTCCATGCGGAAAAACGTGGGAGATAACTGCACCGACACCATAATTGGAAGCATCCGTAGCAACAACAGGTTTGAAATTTAGATTGAAATGAGTCAAGAGTAGATCAGAAATGAGAGCTGCTTTGACCGGATTAAAAGACTGCTGGCACTCCTTCGTCCATGTCCAACCCTTGTCTTTTATCAGTAACTGGTTCAGCGGACCTGTCGTTTGGTGAAGGCTTGGTAGGAAGGCGCTATATTGGCTAACGAGACCAAGGAACTAGCGGAGCTTTGCAATGTCTTCTGGGGGGGCTTCATCTTTTTGATGACTTCAATATTGGCAGGATCTGTACGGCGGCCATGTTTCTCGATGATAAACCCAAGAAATTTGACACTTTATAGTATGAACTCACATTTTTCAGCCCGTAATCGGAATCCAACTTTCTGGAGACGCGAAAGCGCTGTATCAAGTGTTGCGGATCTGAGCCCATAATCAACGCGTCGTCCAGGTATACTGCGGTATTTGGGATATCGCTCAGCAGGGTATCCATTTTTTTGTTGAAAAATGGCCGGTGCTGGTTTCACTGAAAAGTCCGAGGTGGGTATTTACTGTCAATAATGTACTACACCGATTGGCAACTGTGATTCGCAGGTACGCATCAGCTAGGTCAAGTTTTGCGAAACATTTCTCCATTGACTTTGCTGAACAACTCTTCTGGCACCGGCAGGGGATACTGATGATCTTCCAACACAGAATTCAAACCTGTCGAGAAATCAGCCTAAATACGAACTTTACCGTTACCTTTCTTTACCACCACGATAGGTGCTGCCCATTCGGAATACGGAACTCGTTCAATTATCCCTTCAGATTATAGTCTGTTTAACTCGGCTTCCACTAAGGACTGGGTTGCGTAGGGCACCGGGCGTCTTGGTCAGAAGACTGGTTTAAAGTTCAATGCGGCAGTAGCTATGTTGCAGCATCCGAAACCAGGTTGGAATAATGCATCGTGACGTCGTTTTATCTCGGCAATTTGATTTTGAAACATCGGGCTTGAATGCGACGGTTGCGACAGCAGGTTGACTTGCGGAGGCTGACATATACTGTTCAATTATTGAACAAGCAGTTTCAGTTCATCCATCCAATCGAGCCCCAACAAATCTAACCCCCGCTGGTCTGTCACGAATCATTCGTCTGGATTTGTTTATCGCGGAAGTTTACCTGACAATTTAGTTCACCAAGCACTTTTAACGTACCTCCTGAAGCATTCCGTGCAGTGTGACCCGTTTGTATAAGTGTTGGTCGCCCCAACATGCACCAAGTGTCGCGAGATATCAGGGTGATATCAGAAGCCGTGTCGATTTGTTACTTGACTTAGAAGCCGTTGATTTTCACAATTGTGTATTTGCGCTTGCTGGTCCCATCAATCTTGAAAGTCACGGTGATAGATCAGATCGAATTGGGACGCCGAAACGATATGGCATTGTCACGCATCTTCTTGGTCAAAATTGGACGAGTAGCCA